TTTTCTTAAAACATAGAACAATAAATAAAGAAGTAAAGAACAATTATCTCTTCCAGTTACGACCCTTGTTTATTATACATTATATATGTATATAGATTATTGCTATTTAAAAATAAGCTCTTAAACTTATTTTTCTTAAAACATAGAACAATAAAAAAAGAAGTAAAGAACAATTATCTCTTCCAGTTACGACCCTTGTTTATTATACATTATATATGTATATAGATTATTGCTATTTAGAAATAAGCTCTTAAACTTATTTTTCTTGAAACATAAAACAATAAATAAAGAAGTAAAGAAAACAATTATCTCTTCTAGTTACGACCTTTGTACTCGGTTACTGCTTGAAGTAGGTTGCTAAGCCTTTCAAAATTTTGCACGTGGATGATGTAAAACAAAATAATTTTTTTAGGTTTTATATTTACAGTTGAATTACCAAAAAAATCATAAATTACTAAAGTAACTAACTAAGCTGTATTTCAGTCTAAAAAAATATGAAACTTTGAGCAGACTAAAAACACAACCTTGAAATCTTGGTTTGAAAGAAAGAGATGGCATCCTAAGAATTTAAAATGGCTAAGAATGCCACTAGGGGGACATTTGGAGCTTCCAATTGGTTATTCCTGTCATATATATAAAATTAAGTGTACATAAGGGAGCATTTTCAAAAATGGAAAGAGGTGGGTGGGGTGCCACTGTTTTTGATTTATTACATGAGCAGTATCTTAGCAAATTGAAAAGAGGCTTTTATTTTATAGTCCAGCTTGTCAGTATCGGTAATTTTAGTTCCCTAATTTGTATGAAACTATAGACTTAGTATTTTAACATCACAAACATCAAATTTGTACCATTGTTGCATTCAACATACCACATGACACACAAAAATTGATGTTTAACTGTGTTTTTTCAATAGTTAGTTTTAAATTAAGAATTTGAGTAAAGTATAATACTAAAATTTGAATTATAATCAACAGTTTGATACCAAACTTATTGATACAAGTTCACGAAATAGTAGTTCAATAAAATTTTGAATGTGAGTC